CAGGGCCACGAACTCTTTAGCGAACAATCGCGAGGGAAACAATGCTCGTTTATGTGTTTATCGGCGCTCTAAACTGCTCAAGCCCGTTTTTCAGTAGACCACAGATAAATTAGATAATACTTCATAGTTTGCCTCATTGGGCTGTATTTCTGCCTTCGTTGGGCTGTATTTGTGCCTCATCGGGCTGTATTTGTGCCTCACTGGGCTGTATTTGTGCTTCATCGGACTGAATTTGTGCCTCATTGAGCTGTATTTGTGCCTCATTGGGTTGAATTTGTGCCTCATTGGGCTGTATTTGTGCCTATTGGGCTGTATTTGTGCCTCATTGGGCTGTATTTGTGCCTCATTGGGCTGTATTTGTACCTCATTGGGCTGTATTTGTGCCTCATTTGGCTGTACGTGTGCCTGAAAATCATTCGACCATTGGACAGCAGTCGATAATTCATTGATTGACAAATGTCTCTCATGTGCGATCAGACCATTTTCAAAAGCATTTTGATACATACTGTCTCCTTGCAATAAAACACTGTCCATTGTAATCGAGTTAGAACCCAATGAGAAACAAAATGATCAAACAATTTGGTATATAAACTATGGAAAGGACTGTCAAGGTTCAATTATTACAAATGAGCATGAAGTTGGAGCTCCCTATGTTAACTTTGGTTCAGCTTTGATGAATACTTTTACACAAAGTAAGGATACTATTTTGATATTAGGTGGGTATATGATTGCCTTAATGCATGATATAAATTCCTTTTTCTATTTATTTGATCCTCATGCCAGAAATTCTTTTGGTATGTCTGACCCTAATGGTACTGCTGTTGTTTTTGAATTTGGGAAATCGCAATTTATTCCCAACTATTTAAAGATGCGGTACAGTCCGATCTGCGCATGTGCACAAAGGAGCCCTCTCTTTATTATACAAACCGGTTATTTAGGTTTTTATTTCATTTTATGGTCTTGCAAAGCTTAATTAATTGTTGTGTCTTGATAATTTATTATACTCTAGAATCATGAAATATAAATAGTTGTCGATATAAATAGTTTTCAATATTTTGGATACCGACATGTAAACAAAGCCTTTGTTTACATACCGACTGTACCGCATCTTTAAACGTTTATTTCCAACTTTAAGGCAGGACTTCACTTGCGGTAGTAATTACTGGTATTTTCAATAAATTAATACAGTTCGAAGAATGTAAACAAATATGCATGTCAATGTATTACTAAGCCATATCTTTCGCCGAACATAACTTCAGCCATAGGCGCCGGCGTACGGGGCTGATGCTTTCCAGGGGGGGCAGTTGAAAGTTTGCCCGAATTTTTATGGAGGATTGTAATGAAATTACCTGAATTTAACCTATTTTCTGATAAATCTGCCCGAATTTTCTTGATTTTTCCTAGCATTCGCCCGAATTTCCAAAATATCGGGGGGGGGGGCAGTTGCCCCCCCCTGCCCCCTGTCTCGTACGCCTATCACTTCAGCCCCTTCGCACATATCTTTTTCGTTGTAGTCTTGTTGGAATCACAATCTAAAACACTATTTACAGTGATATTTTTAAGTCTGTGGCTTCAGTTTTTCATCTTTTATTTCGGTATTTCAATCTGTAGTAGTAGTGTACTCAGCGGAATTAGATTTTTAAAGGTCAAATTACAACTGTTACTCCTTTTATTGACCTTGCAATTTTAGCATGCGAGTAAAAGCCGATATTTTTACCGATATTTTGAAAACATTAAAATAAATATTTCTATTCACCGTATTCAGACAAAACTTTCTACATGATAGCGCTTGAATACAAGGAGTATTTTTATACTCGATTGACTTTGGGGGAATATATTCGGTATTGAAAATACCGAATTCCCCCAATGCCACCAAGTCAATCGAGTAAAATACTCCTTGACCTTTCATTCAGACATTCGTCTGAATACGGCAAATAGAAATATTTATTTTGATGTTTGCAAAATATCAAGTTTTTACTCGCATGCTAAAATTGGTCAATATATTAAAAGGAGTAACAGTTGTAATTTGACCTTTAGAACCCAGCGTCTGTGCACTGTTCAACCAATCTTTAAATATTGGTCGAATTCCTTCTGAGTGGAAATTAGCTAACGTGTCGCCCACCCACAAAAAGGATTTAAGAGAACTTGCAGAAAACTATAGACCGATTTTGTTGTTGCCATTTTCTCGGAAAGGACATGGAACGCTGCATTTGTAACTAATTCTACGGTCATTTCAAGCAGCTCGTTACCAAGTTACAACATGAGTTTTTACGAGGTCGCTCGTGTGTCACACAGCTTCCTTCAATTCTCCACTCAATCGGACAATGCCTTGATAAAAACGTCCAAACAGATGTTCTTTACCTTGATCTCGCCAAAGCGTTTGACTCTGACGATCACCAAATTCTTCTTAAAAAACTGAAATCCTATGGTGTTACGGGTCAACTACACAACTGGTTTGCTGACTACTTAAAGACCGTTCTCAAAGAGTAGTAGTGGATGGTGTGGCATCTCATTGGGCACCCGTTACATCCGTTATATGCAGATGATACAAAGTTGTACAGAAGCATCGTATCAGTAGCTGACTGCGAAGGTCAACAGCAAGCTCTGACTAACCTTGATACATGGAACAGTGTCAATAACCTTAAGTTTAATGCGTCTAAATGCAAGGTGTTGACCGTGACAAGAAAGAGAAGCCCAATATTACACACTTACCAACTCGGCTCTAAGGAACTGCTTCGTGTGGGGCAAGAAAAAGATCTCGGTATTACTTTGACTAGTAACCTCTCTTGGGACACTCATATTAACGTTATCGTCGCCAAATCCAACAAGCTGCTGGGTTTATTAAAGAGAACTTGTCCCTTATTGACGGACATTAAAGTTAGACGTACGCTGTATCTGTCACTCGTTAAATCACAAGTCAGCTACGCCACAGAAGTTTGGTCTCCAGTCAACATACATCTCAAATCAAAGATTGCGAAAATTCAAAGAAGAGCTACCGCTTGGATTCTGAAATCCAAACAAGGTGAGATACCTTACCAACAGAGGCTGATAGCTCTTAACCTACTGCCATTATGTTACGACAGGGAAATTAAGGACTTGGTATTTTTCTACAGGGCGCTATTTGGATTTGAACGTTTATCATTTTGTTTCTTTTGTAAATAGTGATCGCACCCGACTTAGTCAAAATCCATCTCTAACTCTTAAAGTTCCTTTTTGTAAAACCAGAACATTCCAAGCGTCCTACTTTAATCGAATAGTAAAACTATGGAACACAACCTGTAAAATACTTCCCCCTACTAGTTTGTCGAGTCTTTCAACTTTCAAATGTTCAATTAAACTCGTGTATCATAATTTAAATACTCAAATTTTTGATGTTGATCAACCGTGTACATGGACCCTCGTGCGTGGTCGCTCCTGCCATAGGTCATAAACGTACTTTTTTATGGGAAGTGCCCCGCATGGGACTTGGAGTCCCGTTCGCACTTTTCCCAATTGGGTTCTTTTGTTGTTGTTATTTTAAATTAGTGTATCTTTGCCCAATTATTTGTTAGTATAATTATTGTAAATATAGTTGTTAATGACCCAATAAAGTTCTTTAAAAAAAAAATATGTTCGAATGGGCTGAAGTTTATAATATATGTTCGTCGAAAGATACAGTATGGCTTAGTAATACATTGTTTACAATCTTCGAACAGTTATGACGTACGTATTGATTTATTGAAATATAATATCGCTTGACCACTCAAGGCTCATAATTCGCTATAGTGTTTGTCTTTGACTAAAGCTATCGTTGGGAATTTCACTGAATTATTTCACTGAGTCGAACGGTGGTATTTTCATCTACATAGCATTCACTGAACCGAAGATATGAAACCTGCAAAATAATATTCCACTATTTGCATGGTTTAATTTATATATAGGGCCTGTTGAGAAGATGATAACAGAATTTAGAAGCTCGTGCACTCGTCAAAATTCACTGAATCTACAAGTTTAAATGGCGTAAATCCGCGTTAATATTGGAAAATTGTGCAAAAAAGTTGTGAAAACTGATTTATGAGATGTTCCAGATGTTCCATTCCATGTTTTAGACGTTGCCGTTTCAAAGTTTAGTTTCATTAAGGAACTTCTAGAACCTAAAATTCGCGAAGATATAGACGGGTTACCTTTCAGTACTGACGGTTACCAAAGAGCCGAAAATATATTAAAAGACAAGTATGGTAAAACAAGTGAAATTATCAACGCTCATATTCAAAATATAATGGGATTGCCCAGCATAACGGGATCAAATTCAGCAAAAGTGCATGAATTTTATAAGACACTTTCTTACAATGTGCAATCGTTAGAGACTCTGGGTAAAATAGAAAGAGTAAATGGTACCACCAGAAACGTCCTAGAAAAACTAAAGGGAATTAAAGCCGATTTAGTGCGTGGGGAAGAGGGATGGCAGGATTGGGACCTCCCGCGGTTAGTAATTGCTTTAAAGAAATGGAAGGATATTCATTCAGTAGACAATATGAATCAGGATCATTTCAATTCCAAATCACCGCCAAAACGTCACGGTACGAAATCAGATTTTTACCATGCCAAGGGCGGTGAACGAAAAAAGCGCGTGTGTGTTTATTGTGAAGATTCCAATCAAGATTGTAGTAAAGTTCAACTGTTTCGGTGCCCGAAACACAAACCAGTCGTTAGAGAACCAGTCGTTAGAGAAGCTGCAGAATCAACAAAACTGCGAATCGTGTACGACGCGTCTGCACGAGCACACTCCGAAGCACCCAGTTTAAACGATTGCCTGAATGCTGGACCACCGCTACAAACCGCTTGTGGGACGTCCTGGTTCGTATGAGATTCCACCCCGTTGCATTGACCGGTGACTTGAAGCAAGCATTTCTCCAAGTACGGATTAAACAAGCAGAAAGGGATGCACTCCGCGCTTTCATTGGAAACCGAACGATCAAGCAGCAGTCGAAACGTTAAGATTCACTCGGGCACTGTTTGGTCTGACATGTTCACCCTTTCTACTCGGAGGAGTCATCGAACACCATTTGGAGTCGTGGGAAGCTCGAATGCCAGAAGACGTGACCTTATTGGCGAAAAGACGACCGTAGCGAAATTGCAAACCTTCAAGGACAGAGCAACCGAGATATTTCGTGACGCAACCTTTACCCTACACAAGTGGCATTCAAATGCACCAGAATTGGAAGAACCAGCCATGGAACCAGCCATTTTCTCCACAAGTGAAGAAACGTTCGCCAAACAGCAACTGGCTACCGCACACCGGGGGAATCAAGTATTCTCGGTCTTCGTTGAGAAAAGAGGTCCGACCAAATCAGCATCACCGTACCATTAGAAGCATCAACAACTGCCAAAAGAGGAATCTTAAGGGGCCGACCATTTAACTTTTGAGGGAGGGGGTGATTTACTGCTGGCAGGGAATTTTTTTTCTGGGATCGTTATGTGCAAGTTTTTCTTTTCTGTCCCAACACCATGTACGATTTTTTTTCCACTCTCTTTCGCAGCATTTTTTTTTCAATAGCTTATACTATTTAGATTCTTTAATTATATAGTTAACGTTGAGTTTTCTAGCTTCATGCATTGCTTGGCCTCTTTTAAGGCAGGGCCGTAGAAAGCTCTTTTCGATTGGGGGGGGGGAGGCAGAAAGCGAGGCCGACGACCCGAGGTAATTTTTAAATTTAGAGTCTCTGAAATGCCATTTCCTGGACTTTGGCGGAAGATTTGACAGAATTCTGATGGTCAGAAAACAGCGTTTTAGTATGTTGAAATTTACAATTTAGTAGTACTAAATGGGCGAAGGCGTATTTAATTAACTATATATTGGATAAGTTGCAGGAAAGTATGGGTAATATCTTCATTCTTTGCAGTTTGTCATGGATTAAATGATAAAGGTCTGCATGATTTTGAAAATGATTATTAGCAAAGGCCCTGTAAGGATGTGTAACTGGAAGGGACATATTTAGCGGGGGACCTGGAGAAGTTCCAGTCGGCAAGTATGTGTTGCTGCAGCTACTTGCAGCATATGTATGCATAGTTTAACTAATAAGTATGCACCATAGGGCAGCAGATCAGGCCATAGTGATACCTAGGATTCTGAGACAACCAAGTCGACCATCAAAGGTGGGAGCCTCTAGAAGGGTCTGGGGGCATGCCCCCCAGGAAATTTTGGATTTCTTGAAGCTCACTTTGAGGAGTTTTCCAACAAGAAATAGTTCCTGAAAATCAAACCAGCTGATCTTCTGTGACTGGTCAAATCGATCCCTGCAACCATGGTGTTTTGCAACATTTTCCCACCAAATAATGGGGCAGGATATTTTTCCCTCTGTTAGTGCAGGTATTTTTTTGTTCAGAATAGCCTTGCAGGAAATTTTTTTCAAA